CTGCTAAGACTCTGCTAGGGTTTAGGTCATGGTTACTTAGCAACCGATCGCTTGCATGAGACCAGGGTCAAGTACAAATCTTTCGGTTGGTCGGTAAAAATAAACCGCTACGTGCCGTACGTGTTATTATGCCTAACGGACAATCGACTAACAATAGAATCGACAGGAGTGTTTCACAAATTGCTCTCTACACGGCAAACAAGGCATTGTCCGCTTATTTAATTTTGCGATGGAGTCTCTCCTAAAAAACCTCAAAAAACATGTCGAATGTTCGATTTGCCTAGATAATTTCACCGGGCCGAAAACTATAGCGTGTCTTCACACTTTCTGCTGTGAATGTCTGAAGAAACACGCGCTTATGAGTCAGAGAGATGGCCAGTTTCGCTGCCCCGAATGCCAGACACAAATAGCCATCCCTGAAGGAAACAGATTCGATCAGTTACCGACCAGTTTTCTTCATAACAGCTTGCTCAGTCTTCTCGCTGTTCAACAAAGTGGCGATGGAAATAATATTACTTGCGGATTTTGCAAGAAGAAGAAGGATGAAGCAAGCTATTGTTTCGAATGCGAAAAAATGCTATGTTGCGACTGTCTGAACGCACACGAGGTGTTTAGAGATGCCGCGTTTGCAGGACACAAGGTGACCAAAGTCAAACAGTTTCAAGCAGAAGATTACGAAGCCTTGTTAAAGCGAAAGGCATTCTGTACTGAAAAGTACCACGAGAAGGAAGTAACCAGATTTTTCTGTCGCGTCTGCAAAACTTGTATTTGTCAAATATGCATTAATATGAATCACAAGACTCATGAAATTGAGCTGCTAGAATCTGCGGCGGATGAAGAAAGAGCTAACATTTTGGAAGGAGTTGAGTCGATGAAGCAAAAACACCAAACATGCAGAGACATTATCCGTCAATTAGAGGAAAGAGCCGCCAATCTTGAAGCTAACATCACAATCGCTAAACGCCAAGTGTCTCAATCAGGCGAGCAAATAATCGCTTTGATTCGCGAACGCGAGCGCGAGGCAATTACCACGCTCGAGAACACACGCGTGTCTCGAATACAGGAACTGGATGCCGTAAAGAAACAAGTTAAACAGCTAGAAAAACAGATCAAACAAGCGGCAGAGTTTGCAAGTGAAGTAGCTCAGAGAAGTTCGAGTGCAGACATAATAGGAAACAGAAAGAATTTACAGGAACGATTTGAAGAGCTTCGCAAAACTAAAATGCCCGACTTGCCTGCTGGTTCGTTTGTAAAGTTCGTGTCAACTTGTAAGCTAGATACTTTGAGTCTCGGCATAATAAAATCAACCGAGACAGACCCAAAAAAATCGACAATTGATGGACTGAAACAAACTTTTCAAGCTGGCGTTGAAGCAGAGATATCGATTTGCCCAAAGACAAGCGAAGGACAGATCAGTAACAAACAACATGACGATGACGTTGAGGTTCAAGTGGAACCTTCTGACCAACTGGCCAGTTTGATCATCAACGAAGGGAACGATGAAGCAGGCGGAAATTTCCAAGTGAAATTTGTTCCTAAACTGCCGGGTGTGTACCACATCTCAGCAAAGATAAACGGCGACAACCTTGCTCAGAGTCCCTCCAATATCGAAGTACAGGAACGAAAGCTTGAAGTTGTAGGCGAGCTGCAAAGTGGCACTATGCTTAAGCCAGCTGGCATTGCTGTGAACTCTTTGGGAATGATCGCCGTAGCGAACCAAGATAAGCACTGTATTTTTATATTTGATAAAGAAGGAAAGTTTTTGAGACAGCTGGGCTGGTATGGAGAGAATCCTGGCGAGCTAAACACACCAGCTGATGTAACATTTATGAACGAAGATGAGATTTTAGTGATAGACGTAGGAAATCACCGAATACAGCAATTTAATGTGCACTCAGGGAACTTTATAAACAGCTTTGGACGATTTGGGTACGGATGCGGACAGTTTAAAACTCCAAGGAGTGTTTGTATGGATTGTAAAGGACACATCATTGTAGCTGATTACAGTCACCGAGTTCAAGTGTTATCAAAGGATGGTGTTTCTATATTGAAATTTGGAGATAGCGGACCTGAAAAACTGCTCTTTCCTGTAGGCTGCGCCTATTACAAGGACATGTTTGTAGTTGCTGACAGCGGGAATAGCTGTTTAAAGGTGTTTGACTCTTCAGGGAGGTTTCTACGCAAGATTGGAGAGAAAGGCAATGAAGATGGACAGTTTACAAACCCGTGGAGATTGTATATTGACATACATGGAAATATCTTGGTCGGTGACAAAGACTCTGGTCACGTGCAACAATTCACTATGGAAGGTCGCTTCACTGGGAGAGCTGTTACTAAACTAAATTGGCCAAGTGGTATAGCACAAATGCCGGATGGTCGCATTTTAATTTCCGATTTCGAAGCAGGAAAGGTTTTTTTCCTTAAATAGAACTGTTTTCGAATTAAGAGGCCCTGGACATAAGAAACGTCCGATTATTTCCGGCTAACAAATGATAATATCAGTCAATTTTGTTAGGTTAAGGCTGCCAAACGTTAATTTAAAACATAATATCATGGGTGACAAATTTCTCCTAAATTTGGCTCGAAATTTCAGCGATAATTAGTAATTTCAAGTGTGCAATAACCTTCCGTACGTGGCGTCAAAGTTTTAAAATGTTATGAAATTCAATGAAGTGCAGCGACCTCTCTTATCGGACATGTTGACATTCAAGTCTATCAATTTTGTTGTTTAATAGGTTCATTAGAAAAGCTCGTTATACTCAGTTGAAGTAAGTGATCAGACCCGATCACGGTGATATACTAGGTGTATCAAATCAAAGGGTGGCCATTAAAAAACAAAATGGTTAAAAATTCTGGAAACTGTTATGAAACAACAAAATCTTTCATGTAAAGAATCACAAATGGAAGTCTGGAGATTCAGTTCTGAGGGGGGTGAATAGGCCAACGGATCGGCAGATCTTGAAAATAGTTTTGCCTGGATTTCGAATTCAGAGCGAAATTTCAACGAATTTGAAGAACCCGGGCAATGGCAGCGGATTGCTGACTCATCCATTTCTGGGGCACGGATTTTGGACTTTGCATGTTTAAAAAATATTTCTTGGGAAGAGAGTTTATAATCTCGTTGCGCTTGCGCGTGGACTTAGCCAGGTGCAAAATTGGTTGCCCTATGCATGAACATTGTTGTTATACCACTTAAATAAATGAATAAAAAGAGCCTCTGTATGATGAACATTATCGAGCATTTTAGTGATTTTAGTGACTTTTTTTGGGAGAGACCAAGCTTTTTGATGGAAAAATGGAGCATTAAGGAAGAGCATTTTAGAGGGGATACGAATACATAATGAACAAAAGCCTGGTTAGATATCGGCTATCTCTCGCAAATACTACAAGCTCAGTTTAAATTCTGAAAAAAATCACCACTCCCTTTGCAGTTATTTTCTTTTTATTTTAATTGCACTTAAAATCTATTTATCGAAGGTCTATCTTTTGACAAAATGCAAAAATGCAGAGAACTAGGGCGAAAGAACAAAAATGGAAATGTTATGTACGATTAGGAATTTGTAACGCCTCCTTGGTGAACTAGTACTTTTAACAGTAGTTAAGTTCAATACGGAGGTATATCCCTGTGTGAATGATACTCACTGGGATCTATAACAGAATGAGGGAATATCTTTTTCCTCTGTTACGCCTCTTTTATTCACTCCGACAATGTTTCCAAGCCAAACGAGTTGATGGATTGACCTGGTGTTCACAGATAAGGGAACAGAGGCAAGAGGGCCACTTTTCTAGCCCTTCAGGAAAAAAAAAGTGTACAGATAACAAAACTAATGAATTCTCTGTTGTCAACCCTGAATGGAATATCTTGCTCCCCCCTTTGAGCACATCATGTTTGATGATGCCACAGTTGAAGAGAGACACTTTGTGAATGAGGATCGAAGCATACCGGTACCATGATAGGACTATTTTTAACTTGTTTCATAAATCAAAGGAAATCTATCACCAACCGACCTCCAAGCTCTGGAAATGACCAACATCTAGTTTCTCCTTACATAATACACTGTTCACTCAAACATAAAGGTTACAAGAATGGAATAAGGGCAATGGTCACTAGGGGGAAAATGGCATACACATTTTAAAAAAGCCCTTTAACAGTACGGTGAAATACAACCATATGATCATAACAGTCACACGATCACCTCCATATTTAGGCTCAGTCTCCAGTCCTGGCTGTCTCGATGTGCCCGCGGCACTCCCCACCCGACGGCTGGGCGCACGGGCTTGGCTATTGTTAAAATTGACCAACCAGAAGCCAGCCTGCGGAATTCTGTGGGCTGCCTTCTGATTGGTCAGTTGTAATGGGTGTGGGGAGTACCGCGGGCGCATCGAGAAACCAAAGGCTTGAGACTGAGCCTACTCCTTATTAAGACCAAAGACATTTTTTCCTAAGCCCAAAACAAGAGTCTAGTCATTTTCTTGTTAAAATATGACCACCATCTGTCATTAGAAGAAATGACTGCCTTTTGAAATATTCCAACGGTTGCCTTTTTCACAATTTAGCCTCATTGAAATGACCGAGTAAATGCCTGGTAATGTATGAAAGCATGAAGCAATGAATCGATAATCATAACTATAACAAAATTCTCTTCACCTGATTAGCTATCAGCAGCCCTAATTCCAGGAATTCCAGAGTAATGGGACGGTAAGTGCCACGACCAAGGAATTGGTCATCTGGGAAAAGACTCTTGGAAGATCTTGTGTTTTAATTTAAAAAAGCTTAAATTGTCACAAATTTTGTTATAGTTCGAATTAATAACTGTTAACAGAACTTCATGTTCTATCACCCATGCGGTCTGTTATCATCATATACATTAAACAAATCGGACTCTTTCTAAGCAGTCATATGATTTTGTTAATCAATTATTGCATGACTGCGAACCAAATTGTATTCTACTCAGTCAAGATTACTACCATTATTTATCAGGGAGTCTTGTTAGCAAAGGTTGCTGATTAAAGTGTGTAAGCATTCAAGTGATATGTGATTCCTAGAAGGTCGCTTGTCAGAATCAAGTTCTTCTTGTCATTTCACAATGTTTTAGTTTGGCATTTTCCCCTTTTTATAGCCCAGGGTTGGTACAGCTATGTAGAGGGTTTCACTGTGCCATATTATAAGAAGTACACATAGAAAAGGTTTGAGGATAATGAGTGTTGTTGTAAGAGCTTAAGGGTCAATGGTGAACTATGTACACCACATGCGCGAACTTTTTTAGAAAATATCCCATGCAAACAGCAGCCCATGCACTAGAAATTACAAATCTAATATTAACAATAATATTTTAAGTCAGCCTTCATGTTTAGGTGGAGTATACCATCCTAAAAATGAGAATAAAACAAAAAAGCCAAATAAATTTATAACAACTTGTGATATGTTACTGGCTACTACATGTACGTTGAAAAGCTGTCAATCTACAAATGAACTGAACTGTGAACCATAAAATGGGTGTTTATTAATTTGTTTGCGCGAGTGTTTGTTTGTTGTTTTCTTTCAGAATTGTGGGGCTTGCAGGAGAGCAATTATTTTCCCTTAGTCCCTCTTCTTCTAACTTTCTCAACAAACATGCATTGACATGCTTGCTACACAGGTTAGTAAAACACTCACAGGCAGATGTGTCAGGGTTTAAAGCAATGGGGTGAGACAGGCAAGAAGAATGGGGATCTTGCCTCCTTCCCACCCACCCCCTACCCCCTAAGTAGAGTTGACACTCTTCTCCGAGTTACACTAACAATTGAAACCAAGATGGCTACCCAATACAGTAAGCACTTGATCTTGAAGATCTTACAGGAAAGTAGGGGAATAAACTGAGTATTCTCAGGGACAAACAAAAACTTCAATTTCGTATGATTGAATACGCAAAAATTGAAGATCACTCTTACCATTTTTTTCATGGATCTGTACTAAGGACTTAAAAGATTGTTGGGCTCTTGCAAGGCTGTAGACACCAGGCTGTTAAAGCAAAGTCAGGAAAAATATTATTATCTTAAAGAGGCTGTGTAACAAAATTTATCAAAATTCAAACAGCGGGAACTCCCACCAATTTGAGTGAAACGCAAAAAGCAATGCTCAAAACATAAAAAGAAGGTATAAATTAATTAACCCTTTAACCAGCAAATTTGGGGGGAAATTTTTTTCATTGCCACTGTCTTGTGAAAATATGCTCACGACTTCTATATTATAAATCCTAGGGTCATTAACTATAATTATATCATGAAATGTTTATCACAGAATGCTCTTTTAGGTGCAGCAATAAAATTATTGTTAACGTTTTACCAAGTTTCCAATTTCAACTCTCTGAGGGCACTTGACTTCCAAAGTTGCTTCATACTATCGAGTCAATCACCATTACTAGTCATACAAACTTGTTTTCCTTTGCTCGGACATTTATCTTCAGAATTGCAAGTTTTGATCCATGTTGAAGGTCAGGTGGAGAGAATCATACTCAGTGCAATTACTTAAAGCTCCACAGATGACAAAAACTGGATCAAATTTTACAGTTAAAAAGTTCAGTAGATTTGATGCCAGCTACTGCCAAAATCCACTCGAACGTTACAACAACTACTTCATGTAAAAAGCATTGAAGCAGTCCAGGCCAAATCACTGAACTGTAGAGAGTGATTACGCCAAGAGGGTCCTTCCGTACATATACACTGTATGTACGATTGCCAGTTAAAGGGTTACCACAGCAAATACAAAAGGAGGCACAGACGGACACATTTGAAGTACATTGAAACCGATTGCAATTTTTTATTGTGGTTTTTGAAAACAAGTTAGCCCAGCCCCTGGGGCCTGGAGTTTTAGCTATCCAGAATGACTTCAGAAATTATCTATATTTTCATGAGATAATAATTTATGAGTTGATTTGTTGAAACTTAATATGAACAAAAAGACAATTGGCAGGGTTAAGTAAAATCAGAAATACACCTCACAGCTTAGAAGATAACAATATTAAGAACAGGACACCCGTTTCAATATAAAGCACCGACAGCCGACGAAACGTGTCGGCTACTTTGCTCATAGAGGTCAGCTACTTTTGTCTAGAAAGAAGAAGCAACTACTTTGAATAACGTTGTAACCTAAAAATATATCATAAAATCTGAATGAAAACGTACTTATAATGTGTTCTCATAAAGGCCCACTGGTTTTATGTTATACTTTAGTCATGTGAACGCTATAAAATTATTTCAGTCATTTTTTCACAAGTTTCTTTATATGTTTATGCAGAATTTGTTTACGTGCAAAAGTACGTAGTTTAGTTTTCATCATTTGTTTATTGCTTGAGGGAATTGATTGTGTGACTGATAAATTGAAACCTACATTTTCTTCAATGAAACACATGCTCTTTCATCCTCAAATTTGGTCCACCGAACGCTGAAAATCGCATTTTAGGGCTTGAAATTTCACAATTTTCTGGGGCACAACGCCCCCCAGGCCTCCCTCCTGCCCCTAAAAAGGGGACTAACGGTCTCTGGTTGACACAGTCGCTTAATCTATTCAAACCTGGCAGCTACTTCAATTTTTATTGAAACCCCTGGGACACTATTCCTTAAGCAATGCTTATGGTGTTACAAGTACAAAAAGCCCATTCACAAAGAGCTTACTATGTATGCAGTTGACTACTACGCATACAGTATTACCTTTTTATTATCCTGGAAGTTAATCCTTGCTTTTCCTTTCACAAGTGTAGCCGCTATTTGCATGATAACGGCTTCTACTGTATAGGCACTGCTCCACCCCTACATGGTGAAAGTTAACACAAAACCTTAACAAAAGTGGTAAGGGTTATGAATAAGTATGACTACCTTCGAAAGGTATCTGCAGAACGTAACATCCCCTTAGCTATTGAACTAAACATCCCTTTATCTCTTGAACTTGCCAAGAAACAGGCAATTGAAGATGATGAAATGAAATTGCAAATCGAACAAGGTAGGCGTGTTTAGATTGTTTTAAAACTATGAATATTATAATGTTATAATGAATATTATAACAGTTACTAGATATAGCTTTCGCATGATGTGAAAAATTATGGAGATCTCAGAGGGTGTAATCTGCCTCATCCAAAACCCACCTCAATCTGCATAATTCTTTAGATCATACTCAGCCTCAATCAATTCAATAATTGATAATGAAAAAATAAGTGTTAAGCAATGTTGTGTCACTGTTCGAGGTACATGTACCTGTTTTAGAAAACAGTTAGCCCTCGAGCAAGCTCTCTAGGGTCCTCCGGCAGATGGGTGGGAAAAGCAAGGAAAACTTGCAACTACGTCTTTGGAATTTGAATATCTGCATCGAAAAAGTTGATGTAGCCTGCGTAGCATGGCGGTTTTGTCGAGCCGGGCGCACGAGCGGCGTAGCCGCGAAATTCGCGCGCGAAGCGCGCGAGAACGAGCGGCGAAGCCGCGAGAAAAAGAAAAACCGCCTGCCCGGATTCGAGGGGTTTTTGACTGCCGCCCCCTTCACCTCATTTTGACACCCGGGGTGACAACTTGTCTGGTTTCAATTTCTCCAGCCAATCATAGGCTTGATAGTAATATGAAACTTCGCGCGAAAGTGTGGCGCGTTTGGCAAGAAATCAAGACAAATCCTCATGCTCTTTCGTCTTCTTCGATGGCTACGAAGGGCGATACGCCGAAAAAGCCTGCCAATATTCAACGGGCTATTTCAAGCGTCAATGATAATTGTAGATTGTCTTGTTGTCCGCTAAAGATTAAATACGGAGAATTTAAAAAAAATTCGTATATTTCAACGCAAAACCTTTTCAAGGTCTCGACGCGCGAAGGATGCATACAAGGTCTGACTTTGGCAGAACTCTGTTCACATATTGGACTGGAAATTGAAAAATCAGACACGTTCTCTGATCGAGTATGTCATGCCTGTGGTAGGAAAATACGGAACGCATTTGATTTCTATACCTTCATCGCCTCAAACTTGAAAAGAGAGAAGGATAACTCGGCTGTGATGGAAGTTGATGACCATTCTGGTAGATTCAAGCGGCTTTTGCCAACAACCATTTCATCGCCGGATAGAAGTCCTCAGGCCAGAAAAGGGAAAAAAGCAACTGGACAAAAATCATTAGCGAAAAAATCCTTAAGTTTTAAAGATGTTTCGAGCTCTGTGGTTAACACTGACAGCGATCACAACGAAATCTCTACTTCAAACACAGCGGATGACTCACCTCAGGAAGCTGGCGAACTTTTTCTCTCATATCTAAACGTGGAAGACTTACTTGAAAGTTCAAGCACCGAAGCTAAAGTGGTAATTGTTAACCCGGGTGGTCGCGTTGAAACGTTCAGCTCGTTTCATGATAAGACGAAATCGATCATGGTAAATCTGTGCAGAAAAAAATGGAAAACGGTTGCGAATTTGACATTCGAGCACCCGAATATTCGGGAAGAGTTGCCGGATCCTCTGAGAAGAACCGTCAGCAAAGAATTCCAGGAATATTGTAACAATGCGACAGATTCAGTATTGAAAAAGTCAAGACCCGACGATCTGGCCGCGTTTTCGAATAAAGTTTTGGTTCATGAGGCAGATGTGTGGTGTCCATTCTGGATGAATTGTGTCAGAGGTGCGTGTAATGTGCGAGATTCTTCACAACTGGATGTCAAGAAAATCAATGCAATGGCCTTGATAAAATCAGTTGCTGCTAGAGGAAGAAACGAGACCATGTCAGCAGTCGCATACCGTATTTCTGCAGTTCTCTTTCACAGTGGAGTCAAGCATGAAGATCTGCGAATTCTAAATAAACTTGGAGTATGCATGTCTCCAGATATGATTGTACAATTCCAAAGGAAGATGGGCGAGTGCTGTGAATCAAAAGTAGGTCATTGGAAGAGGGAGATTGAAAAGGCGAAAGTTGCTAGCCTGTTGCTGAATGAAGTTCGAGAAAAGCAGGTTGGCAATCACGAGGACGATGTGATGCGTGTCGACATCGATTTTTCAGAGGAAACCATCAGGAAATATGATTTCTTCGAGCCGGCCGCTTTCCAATTCTGCCAGGAGCACATTAACCGCTTCTCGGATGAACAAGATATCATCACAGACCAGGAGTTAGGAGCAGCAGCAGCAGAAATTGCCAAAATTCAGCTTCCTTACTACAGGTATATTATTTTATAAACTGCAAACGATTTTTTTTGGTAAAATATGTTTTCGGAGGACCAAAAATGACCTGCCTTAGAATTATTTTTAGCTAATGTGGAAGGCTAAAATTAACTTGATGACCGTTCCATTCACGGACAATTTTGGAACACATAATTTTCTGTTTTTTCTTTTCGCATTTTAATTCCACGGGTTACGCTATTTTTCGTAGAAAAAAGACGTTTTAATGTCGTGAAACTTAAACTTACGTTAAATAACATCTAAAATTTTCGGGAAAATACATTGAAACCCATGTCATTTCGAAAAGAATTAAGTTGCCACGGGAAGACCGAACAGACACATTTTTTTAGCGCTGCTTTTAGATCTATAGCCTAAAAAAATGTTTTCCAATACATTTAGGATGAAACCGTCGTTGGGTACCCTGAAAGATTAAATGATTATTTATAAAATAGGTTTTTAGAGGTTTTAATAACTAAATTTCAGAGACGCACAGGACGGTAGAGAGGTGTACTTAGTCCTTTTTTAATTTTTTTTTCTCCTAGAATTATCCAAAAAAATAACAATAATTAATCATCTTGGCAAACAAAATTTGTAATCTTTAAAGAAACAAGTAAAATTTAATTGTTTTTTTTTTTTCAAAACTCTAGGTTGGTTGGCGACAATATAGATTTAATGGTCAATGCCAGGATCCAGAGTGTTGAGAGCAGCAACCGTTCTATTCATTGGACCCAGCAGTATGCTGTTCTGAACCGTGTCAATGAGGTGGCATTGGACACAAAAAGACCAAGAAAATCCCTTAAAGAATTGCAGTTACTTGATCTGCTTCCTGACCAAGCAAGTTTGGAACGCCTCAAACACAGATGGGCTGTGTTGGTGAGCAGGATTATAAGCAAGTACCTCACAAAGTTCCATCCATTCAGGGATGTAGTCATTCGTCACATTCCACATCACTACTCCAAGGAAATGAAGACAAAATCACAAACCGTGAGTTTAACTTACATACCATCAATTTAAAAACCTACTGGGAAATATAACCTGTAGTAAACCTGCTAGCAATATAAGTATGGCATACACAATGTATAAGGTTATAAGAGAAGGATCAACTTGTAGATATATATATATATATATATATATTTTTTTTTTTTTAACTGCAGACAGTACTGTTTCGGCCTTCTGGGCCTCATCAGTGCAGTGCTGATGTCTAGGTATATATATTTTTTTTATATATATCCACTGTCACCAAGGAACTGAAAGCTTATGTTTGAAAAAAATATATGGTCAAACTCCTTTTTTATGAAGTAAATTTCTGGTGTATGTACAATTGTTGTCTCCCAAGAGGATATTTTCAAACATTTAGTATCCACTGCCTGTAGACCTGTGAAATCTTTAAAAACCCTCCCTTGTTTGCAAACTATAGTACATGCCAACTACAAAAAGCAATTTTTAAATTAAATATTACTCAAAAATAAACAAAAATTGGGCATTTGGCATTCAAACTCTTTCAGTCCCTTGAAATGTGCATCTTTTAGCTCAGTTCTTAAGAGCCTTAAATAGTGGTTCCTCTGATTTTTTTCAATTGCAGTGTAGTCTGGGTGTTCAATTCTTCAATCCCAATGTTGCAAGTGAAATGGCACAACTTCTTATGACAAATCATGAAAAGTATGTGCCATCGTTCAAAACCACGGATGGAAAAGCAGTCCTCAAGTCAGTGCCATTTCATGGAGACCAGCTATTTGAGGAAAGGGCAAGAAACACACAATGGGTATACCAAGATGGTGACAATGAATACGATAGACTTGAGGGCCTGGAAACAGAATTTGCAGACTGGCATGCAAAGTTCAATTTGTATATGGTTTGTATCTAGAATTAACTTATTAAGATCAGAAGGAAAACTTAAAAAAAGCGGTGCTGTTTAGCAACACACAGTGCTATTATGACATTGTTAACTAGCCTCAAGGCAAAAATGTTTACTTCCAAATTTTAGTCTTTTTCTCTGAACTCTATCCCAAATAAAAAAGATTTTGTCATTTCGAAGGAAGTAAAACAATCTTTTTTGAAATTTTTTTGGAGGTGTGCACAACTGCAGCTGCTGAATTGCTGAGTAGCAGTTTACATTCCATTTATAGGCAGCTGGGAAAAACATTTCAAGGGAATATGTGGGACGGGGACCTGTGATAAATTCAATAACATCAATATATAACACATAAATAAAAAAAAAACTTAGAATTATTTGTTCTAATTTTATACAACAGATTGAAAATGAGCTCTTTGTTGACAACTCCTCAGCTGCAGAGATTGGAACTTCTCGTGCTAGCATGAACAGAACGTTTAAGACCAATGCTGCGAAGGGGGTGAACAACCATTACAATGAATATAAGGAGTTTCATGCACGTGAAGTAGAGGCTCATGTCTGCGCTTCATTTATGGAAATGTCAGGAATGACAACATTTGATGGTAAATATAAATACAGTCAAACCTCCACTTAAACTCCACCTCACCAAAATGGCCCCTTTTTTGCATGACTGGGTCCGTACAATCAATCTTGGGTAAACCTCTCTACAAGAGCCACTATTCCTTGTCCCCAAGATGGCCATATTCATAACTCAATTGAGTTATTAATTAAAACTGCAACTCAACATTTGTAAAGTTTACCATAGCAATTGGGCTGAAATCGGAAGAATGTATTAATATTTTGTGTCATGTTAGCCTTTTGATGTTGGATGCTGTAAATGTTCTTTTATGTCATTGTTTTTCTAAACAGATAATCCAGATTATGATGTACCAACCAAACAGGACTTGAGTAGAGAAAGTCGTAGGAAATGGCTACTTGAACTCTGCCTTAAACATGTAGAAACATACATTATGACAGTCAGTGAAGTTGAACCTTTGGTCCAGCAAGTGAGAGAGTTGGAGAGTGCAGTTGCAGCAGCAGGTTTCTTGTGCCGGGTTGATGGGTGTGACAAAAATTACAGTCAACACTCAAGTAGAGTCAAGTAAGTGCGAATGGGGAGCAGCTGTTATTCCAAGCTTATGTGACTTTTCAATCTCTATGATAACTCTGGACTGTCATAACAGGCTAGGGCCATGCAGGGGTTTCCCTTGGCTATAACTAAAAACATGATCCCGGCTACTGTCATAGTAAAATAAAGGAAAACTATAGGACCCAAAGACATCAATTACTATAATTATCTGTTTGAATCCCTGCCTACACTCTTTGTATTTTGCTGACAGCTTTAGTGTAACCCTGTTGGGTTAACTCCACTATATGGGAGTATTATCAAACAGTAGGATTTTTTGTTGTTGTTCCAAAGGGGCCAGTTGTCAATTTGGATTTCTCCTTCCAGATTCAATGTTGATATTTCTTTTTGTTTGTAAAAGGCATGAAGTTACGCAGCATGGCATTGTTTGGGAACAGTATGAGGCAGGGAAAGAGAGGGATATTATGGGATTTTACCACTGTAGAATGTCATGTGGCCTGGTGTTCTCAACAAAATCCACCAGAAACAGGTATGAAGAAACTATAAATTTGACTCTTAATATTGTTTTGCCCTCTTATCCTCCGTTCATTTCAGTCGACTAATGAAAATGTAAGTGTCTTATATAATTGTCACGAAATTAGTTGTCATGGAAGATGATAATTAAAAGCCTGGTTAATAGAAGCAACATATTGTTAAGAGCAATTATTAAAAAAGCTCTTTTTTCCTTATCTAGACATGAAAGCACAGCACATTCAGGCACCACTGTCCAGACAGAGCAAGATCAGCAAGATGGGGCAGGGAAAGAGGGAGCAAAGGAAGATTTCCTATTTAACTATCATCAGGCAAAGCTTACCTTTGGACTTATCTTATTTGAGTTTGATGATGCCATTAAAGAAGGGGATGGTGATAGGCTCCATGATTTTTACAGGTTTGGCTTGCTTTTGTTCAAAGCATATGGCAAGACCAAATATGCTTACGTAATCTTGCTTTACTTGGCCAAAATTAAGGCGATATTGTCAGAATCAGATGCACATGATCTTAAATGGAACAGAACATTTAACAAACATGGCTTGCCAGGAATGAACATTCCACTGGACTTGCGAACCGAGCAGTACAATCGTGATGTAAAGGGAATGTGGAAGGCACTTGGTGCCAATATCAATGAAGATTCAGCAGCAAGAGTAGCTAACACTGTTGAGCCAATGGAAAACATTTATGATTCAATAAGGATTGACTTGGGACTCCCAGAAATCCGAGGTTACAGGTCTGGAGGAAATCCTGAAGTTGCTGTACACCAATTGATCTGCGATTTAATGCAAATTTCTGCATTCAAACATAATCCAGGCAGGGGAGGGCACCCATCCTTTCCTGAATTCTCATCTAATTTATTGCAGAATCTTGATTACCGTGATCTACACACGTGGATGAATGGGCTTATTAAGACATGGGAGCCTATCTACGAATTAAATAGAGTTTAATTGAATTCAAATTGAATCCCAGCTAAAGTTGACATACCACAAGAAGTGAGGATTTCTTTTTCCTGTACAGTATGAATTTATTTACCAAGTGGGTTTATAAATCAAGTACCATTAGCCTTCTATAATTAGTGTAGTTTTACTTATTCATTTAAACATACTTTACATGTTTTTTCATTTAAACAGCAAGTTTTTAAAATAACATGAAAAATAGCGATAAAATTTGTGCAGGGTATTTTGAATGGCAGTTTAATTGACAAGAAATGTGTTTTTTCCCATGCATGAGATTAAGACAACTGGTTGTTGATCTATGTTTTTGTTGCGAATTTTTTCTTTTTTTATGGGTCAAGAGGAAGTCAAGGTCAATAAAAATGCCACCAGCCAGCCATCACCAAAAAACATTGTAAAGGTTTTAGATACAAGGACTAAAGGAACTGTATCTTGTGAGACCAATAGGAAATCCCAGACAGGCAGGCACATCTAAACTAGCCAGGTTGGGTGACTAATAGGAATACCGAATTGTCTTTTTGCCAACCTCTGCAGCCATATAATAATAACAAAAAATAATATACAGTAGTAAACTGCCTCTTATAAAGGGTCAACTATTTGACTTTTAGTGGGGGGTATGGATGATGTGGATTCCTCTGGTGAAAGGTTTTTTTCTGACATGTAAAACAGTGTAAGATTTGTTTTTCAGCATTACAAGCAATGAAAGATATTTTTCAGTGTAAGAATTTCCTTGTGTATTTCATTGCAAACAATTTTTTCCCTCTAAATCTGTCTACCCCAATTTTTTTTTTAATCACCCATACCCATCTTTGCAAGGGGTTTTAAGAGGGCTTGAATCCCAGGCTCCAGATGTTTGAAAGGTGGATAATGGTATCCACTGGATAACACTCAATCCAGTGAATAGTGCAATTAAGTTTCCTTAACACTCATCTGCTGGATTGAGGTTTATCCAGTGGATAGCGCTATTCCACGTTTGAACAACTGAGGCCGAGGAGGTTATAACCGCATTAGAAGCAGCCACAGTTCTCAGTTTGAAGATAAATACTTCAATATATAAATATTGCAAATATTAATAAACTGTCATTTCTTCAAGTAACAGTCATGAAAGTTACACTTGTCACTTTCTTACTGGATACTAAATATGAGACTTTTGCAAACAAAAGGGAAGGGAATGAAACATTGATCCAAGACCACTTTTAAAGGGTAAACAACAAGTTGTCCTTGTCCTTCCGATTGGAGCTGTTAATACATTTAGTATAACAAGTGTCTACATTAACTCAGGTGTAGATTCAGTCTAACAAAGCATCTGGATCTGGTAAATGATCTTCAAAATCAGTATAATCACACAAAAGCAATTCTTCCAGTCCAGTAATGAATTCTTCAGAGAAACTGTTTGTTGGATCAGTTAAGCTTGACTCATCAATGTCATTGAATATTTCATTTAAAATTTCCAGAATTTTAAGAGCATGTTTTTTTGAAAAAACAGGCACAGTGGTAGTTATGTCCTCGAGAGTAAACAAATTGTGACAGTTTGCCACACAGTCAGAAACTAGCTCCTTTGAAAAGCCATGGCAATACCCAAATGCACTGCAGGAATGACTCTCCTGCAACTCACAGAGAGCAGCATTCAAAATACTCCTCTCCTCATCACTTACATTTCGACATTTGGTTGGTACTATTGTTGATGGAGCTGATTTTCTCTCAAAGGGCTTGACTGATTCGGTGCAACCATTTGAACCACCACAAACACAGGAAACCGCACAAAAGTTACAGCAGTCATGAGATGGAGACAAACTTGCAATCTCGGGATCAAATGTCTTGTAGCTTGCTATACGGTAGCAACCACTTGTTTTCAAAAAGTCACGCACATCTTCCTCACAGTGTGCCAACTGCTGACCATAAAAATATAATACGATGTCTGAAGACAGGCCATCTCTTCCACCCCTACCTGCTTCTTGATGAAAATCAAGAAGGCTTCTCGCAGGACCATACATTACAACATAACGAACATCAGGAAAATTTACTCCCATACTGAGGGCTGTAGTAGCAATGGCAATACGCTTTAGTCCATTGTTTTTAAATGAATTCAATAACCTGTCTTTGTACTCTTTATGAGAAAGTGACTGAAATATGCCAAACAAACAATTTTTGGGCTGCCGTGATGAGCTTGGATGGAAAGCTTTTTCTCCAAGTGACATCATCAGGTAGTTGAAAACACTTGCAATGGAGTACATGGTGTCACAGAACACAATGATTTTGGGAGTTTCCTTGCCATTTGTCTTTATCATTTCAACAATCCAATCCAGTTGCTTTAGCATATCAAGTCTTCCAACTTTGTTGATAGACAGTCGCAGATTGCATCTGTTTGGGCTGACAAACAATTTGACAGGATCCTTCATGGCAAGCTCTTTGATAATTATCTTCTCAGTTTCCTTATCTGCAGTCCCAGTGAGAGCCAGCAAGGGAATTCCTACAATAAAACAGAATAATAATTAATATATTACAATACCAACTACAGGACAAAGGACTGAAGTCTGGTGGAGTGTTCGAGAAGCTTAAGGTTTACAGGGTACATATGAAATTGGTCAAATTTTCAAGTAGGTTTTCTGTTGCAATAATTTTATTTCATCATTTAAGTAGGCAATTGGTTGTTGTACATGAACTGATCGCACGAATAAGTCTACAACTTTCTTACACTTAAATCATTGCCCTTCTAAAGCCCTTAAATGTAGCAGGTTTTCATTTATATGATACACTGTATTATTCTTTTTCTGTTTTGGCCGTGCATGTGAATGAACACCATTACACAAGGACAAGCTTTAAACATCTGATACCAGAATTTAAAAATACAACCATCGAGGGTAAATATAAAGCAGGTTCATAAAATACCGGCTAACATGATGATGAGGTTGTGTAGGTTTTCATAATAGTTTTCTTGCATACCTGCTGTATTGTTTCTGATTGTTTGACGTAGTGTTAAACATGCGAACGACACCATGTAACTTAAATTATTTTCTTACCGTCTTTGCACATTGACCGAAGAATAGCTAACTTTCCATACGCTCCACGGAACACTTGAACAGGTTTCGCACCTTTGCTTTGCTTTCTAGTCAAAAAATGAAAGGATTGACAAAATATAAGCTTATGAGAGACCACGAACTATATTGTAAACATGAGACTCACAAGGGCGGACGTAAACAAAAATCTCACCTTTTTCCTGTCCATGCTTCAACTGTGTGTGATTCGTCGACCACAATCGCCGACACGGCTCGATGTAGAGCACTGTTTTCTTTTAAAGCGGCAAGGAATGCCTTTTCTAACACCGTCTCAGCGGAGCAGTAGAGAAATTGAGGTGGACTCTCTCGAACCAGATTCAGTGCTTCCGTCGTAAGTTCCATTGCCGTGCAGTTCAGCGACAACATTTCGGAAATCTGGTCGTCTATAATACTTTTCAAAGGGGCAATGACAATCACACACGTTTTCGATGAAGAGACTTCTTCTTTGGCAAGAGCGAAGACAGTATAGATCATGCTCTTGCCAAAACCTGTTGGCAAAATTGCCATGACATCTCTCCCGTTAAGAAGATTGTTAATGGCCGTTTCCTGCTCTGGCTTCAAGACAACTGCACTATTTTCCCGACGAATATTCAAGAGCGACAACGCTCTTGTTAATGCTTCTGCTGACGCTTCTGCCATATTTTGATTTTGCTTTGACGAGAAGATTTGTTCAGTCTCTCGAAACTCTCCCAAGGGAATTTACCAAACTATTTGATTGACGGGCGAGCATTCTGAACCAATCAGAACGATCCGTACGCTGGCATACGGACCGACTCAAAAAAGGCCCCCGTCCTTGCAGGCGGTTTTTCAGTTGCTCCCGCCCCAATCTCCTCGCGGTTTTTCTGCCCTCACCCGCCTTTATTACTTAGCAACCAAAACCGCCATGCTACGCAGGCTAAAGTTGATGCGAAAGAAATGCTGATTGACCGAGATGACATTAGTGATGACATCATTGCCCTTGGCACTTGTTTTTCAATGTTTGTTAACATTCGTGCTGATTGGCAGAAATCTGACAGCTCAGTTGACAGGGAGCCACAAGGGAATTAGAGGTGGAATTCAAATTCCAGAGACGTACTTACCAGCTGTCCTTCCTTTTCCCACCCCGCCACCAGAGTGCCCCAGAGTGCTGGCTCTCAGGCTAGAAACCAGTGACAAACACTCCAACTTTTTAATTTGAATGAAGGGATGAAGGAAGGGTCCAGACTGTTTTGTCTCTAAATATACCTCATAATTACAAGAGAAACTCCTCCACAATTTTGTCGCTTTACACTGATTTTGATGATGTTAAGATTAATCATTGTCTTAATAGCCATAAGGGTGTCACACAGAAGAGTAAAATCCAGGTTAATGTAACTTGCATACCTGAGGCGTAAGAAGTTCCATGCAAAGTGCTCCTCCACTAAGAACATAACTAAAGAGGAAATAACAGTACATGTGCAATAATCTTGCATTATCATGTACTGAAGGGTACAAACTTGCATAAAAACAGGACAAATAAATAATGTGTGTTTTTACGTGCTGTGGAAAATTATCTATCTAGTTAGCAACTGTGTTGTCCAGAGTACAAAGAAAGTCAGTTTTACAGCTTGCCGTTCACATTGGTTGTTGGCATGTAGGAAATTTGCCACCATAACAATGGCATATGTATGTACATTAACGTAATTGATGTGGCACATACACACTACACTGATAAACATAATAAATGTTGATAATAAGTTTCAGCATGGCATTCAGTACTTCCTTTTTGTTTTTGATTTTACTTTTCTCTTGACGTCAAAGGCTACTTACCCAGCAGTTAAAACTGGATAAATGACTCTGACAAAAGGAGGATCAAATGGAAATTTGTCCTGAAATAAGGAAACACAAGAATGATCATTGTAAAAACATATCACAATAACTTCAAAGATTTTCAATGAATTTGGACTAGGGAAACACGTTTGAAGGGAGCTGGGGAACATGTTCTACAATTTACCAGTGATTTTTACCATTAGTGATATTCCTGGAATTTTACTAAATGCACCACTAGGAGCAAAGATTATTCAATGATGTTACTCACTGTAAATGTCATATTTAGTAAGACATGATCTGTTTCTTCCTGTGCTTTTAACTGCATCAGATCTTTGTGTAAAGTACTATCAGGGTCAACTCTACAGGAAATAAATGCACATCATAGATTTTTGTCAGTATTATCTAAGACATCAAACAAATATGTGATATTCATGACTGTTATAAATGTAGGTATCTCAAAATCAAGAAACAAAGGATGCTTCAGAAGGCCTGTAAATATTAACTGAGTGTGTTAACTGTTGTATCTGAACTATGTGGAACAAAATTGTTGTTGTTGTTGTTGTTTGTTTGCCTGTATTACAGGCACAGTGATCTACAAAGAACAGTTAAAACACAATGGCCTATGAAGTCTGAGAAAACCTGCAACTCAACTGCAGTCGAACACAGTAACCAGAGCCACCTTAAAGGGTAAAATACAATGTACACGTCTTACACACCTGATAATCTTTATTGTCCAGTCATATAAATTATCATTGTTGAGAGAGACAGAGTATGTTCCTAGAGAGAAAAGTTCAGTGCTAAGTTTATTGATTCTTGCCATGGTGGATCACCACCCTGACAGGGGATAAAATAGGACTTGTGTACCTTACTGATACAAGGCAGGAAAAAAATATTTGAAATCCTCTTCCCAAGTGGGAAAATAAATTTCAGCTTTCACTTGCCACCACTTTATAATAAAATAAATTTAATATAATAAGTTATATAACAATTTAGAGTATCAGAAATAGCACTAAATGCTGTGACAGATACAGATTAACTACTGGATTTGACCAATATGATGACTGGAGGAAAAATATGAGTACGCATTTGAACATGCACTTGGATTTTAAATGGATTCACGCTTTCAACTAATATTATTTGAATATATTGTGTCACTCAAATGATCTTGTAGCATTCAGTTTTGAAATAATTTCTGTCTGGAAATTATCATTTACCAACACTGACATGTACATTCAGAAAGGCTCACGGGACCAGTAATTTACTTGTCGGGATGGGACCACTTTACTTCACTTGTCCACTAGGCCCAGCAAACTTCTATTTATTTTTACTTAGTACACCCAAGATCAAAATTTAGATGTACATGTACTTCCCATCGGATCGGATCCCCTTTTACCCAGCCAACCCATGAAACGAACAGTAGAGGTGGTCACAATAATACCATGGTCTACATGTACATGTATGTATGTCCAGCACTCTAGTAAACTACAGGAGAGTGGGATCTTTTACAACCCACCAGACACAGATCAGTGAAATGACATGAAACAAGGACTATGGTTTTCCATCACTATCCGAGAAGACTAGAATGTCTACACATGTGAAACATAAAACAGCACATTTTTCTTAGTTACATGTAATAAGGACCCTCAGAGTTTTGGTCCAGTTGGAAATTGAACTTAGGCCTATCACTTCTACAGTGTAAGAATCACATAACAGTACAGTGTACAGTGGAACGTCAATCTAATGAAGGGCCAAGGAGCTGACAAAATTTGTTCAGTATAACAAGGTTTCCTTATATTGAGGATTCCTTTTCAAATATTTCACTGTTTCTGGGGTAAAGGAAATCATTTGTTATACCAAGGAATTATAGATATTCATTATATTGAAGTTCCACTGCACATATATTGGCAATTTTCAAAGTACATGACTGTACAATATACATGTACATGTATGTATAAAGGATAAAGGATGTAAATTACTGAGATACATCACAACCTAAGTTACCTCTTTTGAAACTGTCAGATCTGTACACATCCCTCAGTTCTTTCATTAACCTGTCAGTTGCTTGAACTGAACCACATACTGTTCCCTGACGTAAAAGAAACAACAAAGAAAAGAATTAAAATAAAAAATCTGTAACTTTCAAATGATCTCTTCTTATACAGTTGTATTACAGCTCCTTTGAATAACAAGCAACCTGTATTTTTAAAAATATTTCAGAGTTTTAGGTTTTTCTTAGATGTCAAATTAAACCATCACCATAGTATCCAATCATGGCTTGTCAAATATTGTGGCAATAATAAGCAGAAGCTGCAATTATTAAATGTTGGTGGAAATGTACCGCTTTGTTTTCATCCTCCTCTATCTGAGTTTCTTCTGGATTTGGAAGCGCTATATGAACAATTTCACCTTGGTAATCTAAACTTGCCTTGTTTCAGTAATAAGACAAAAAAAAACTTGAGAGCTAAAACTCTAAAGTTCAAAAGCAATGAACCTTGAAACACAGAAACACACAAAATGGATCAAAATCCACCAATCACAAATCACATGACCTTTATAACCCATTGAAGCAAACTTCTGTTTCCTATGAGGTCTGCAAAGATCAGTCTGAATCAGGAAAACTGTCCAAATCAGGCAGAACAAAAACTAAACCTCTTGCAGCAATGCATGCAATGAATCTCTACAGAACAAACTTAAGAGCAAATTTATGACTGTTGACTAAATGTCTTGAACCAATGGGCAGAGCTTCTTTTATGTTGCTGTAAATTCAATAAGTTTTTAATAGTGTTCTAGGCCGAAAGAAGTGATGGAGAAATCAAAGAATAAAATTTACTTGCAACACAAAGTCTGCCCATTTTTGTGCCTGACTGGAAATCCTGCAAAATTTCATCATTTTCTTACACTCTGTCAGTTGAAAGCCTGTTTATTGCATTGACTGACCTTGAGATGGTCTTCTCTCCTGTTCACTCTTATCCTTTCCAATACTGCATAGTTAGCTGCACCAATCTCCTGAAGATCTTTGTTAGAATCTGTCCTGTTTAACATCAAAATAAGGCCTCAGTAAAGAATAAGTTGTATATTTACATGACTGACATGACAGCAGTCTTTTCAACACTTTCTTGGCACTAGGGGGCTTTTTCTACTGGTCAAGCTAGCTTTTTCCTCAATTGCGCCTTCAAAATTACCCTGACATGAGCTGGTGGAAAGGTCTCTTTCAGTTGATAGCCAGCTCTTAGCAACATATCCCTGGTCAAATACATGTATCTGAATGCATGTAGTTTTAAAGGTTGCATCATGAGCTTTCAATGTGGTGCACAAAAGAAAATACTGTCAATTCAATAAAATAAAACTTACTCTGTGTCTTCCTCCATTTCATAGTTATCAGAATCTTCACTGTCCTCATGCCCCTAAAAAAGATGGCTAAAATTGTCATTCCATGTATATACAATCTGCAGCTGTACATGTATGTATACAAGTACACTACATACTGCAGTAGTACTACACTACATACACTGTTCTGCATTAGACATTCAACAAACACTGGAATTTGAAAAGAGTACGCATGTCGGTTCAAACTTTTTTAAAAGCTCCTTTGGTTTACAGATTATTGTGTTGATATTAAAAAGGAGGACCACAAAATGATATTGACAGACTAATACTGAATCATGCTGTGTGGGGTAAGGCTTGAGTAATGGCATCTGTGTCGCTCTCCATTTTGATTTTCTCTTTGCCCTTACCCCAGAAACGCTAGAAACTAATACCAGAAACTCAGGGTACTTGTTTCCGAACATTCCTTGATACCGCTACTACTACTGTTGCTGCTGCTGCTGCTGCTGCTGCTACTGCTACTAATATTATTATTATTAATTATTACCTTATTAAAAGGGGTGCATACATGTTGCTCGGTATTGTGCATGAACAGTTGTATCCTATACAGTACCAGAAGCCTGGAGCAAGCGACTTTCATGTACTTGTGTCAAGGTGTTTATACTGACCAGTTAATTCTAAGAATGATTTGATTTAAATTTACAATATCTTTTGAGTTCCAGAGGAACCAGTCTGACAGCCGAACCTTCGGACCCCAAAATTGTACTATTTGCTCTTGTAATGACATTTAGTTTCCTTTTTTACATCTTATATACAGTGTTGTCATTAAGAGCCGGGGGCCGGGGATTTTCCCCGGCTACTAAGAGAGTGGCCCCCGGCTACTTTTATTGGAAAATAGAACAAAAATAGAACCAAAAGAAATCCCTAGCCGTTTGATTCCCCGCCTACTTGTTGTATTTACCCGGCAACTTGAAATCTTAGTGACAACCCTGTATATAACTTTGAATGTGCTCAATGATGACATGGAGCAATCCCATCCATTTTTGCATCAAAAGGTGCTGTTATTTAAGTGTATATAAAAAAAGATGTAAACTGGTTGGTAAAAACACTATGACATATAGGCTTAGAATGAGAGTTACTTGCACCAGGTTATAAGCTCCAGTCAGTACCTCTTCTAAGCCTTCATCTTCGCTTTCATCATCCTCTTGTGACGTTGTAGAGTCTTTCATCTCTACATCTTCCTGAAAATGACATTTTAAGGACAATAAGTGACAACAAGAGAACAAAATTAGAGCAGTTAAACCTGTGACCAGGCATATAAATGTTCAACTGGAAGGTCATACACGTACCTTCCAAGTTAAGTTAGGAGTGTGTACAATGTATACGTACCCTTGAAGTTAAAACAACACCTAGAGTATGATAGGCCATTTCAGAGTTCTGAATTATTTCTCTCACTCCAAAACAAGGCTAAGTGCAAAGCCTTTCTTGTAAAAATTTTGTTTCATGGGACTAAAGAAACATTTTTTAATATCAATAGCATCACACTTAGCCTCCCTTTGAAACAGATGCTTGGGGCAACTTTGAAAGGGCAGGGGTACTCCCCTATAAAAGTGACAGGGGTGCTTGTCGTACCTGTTAGGGGTTTAAATTTGTGGATTGGTTTCAAAAAGTCCTTGAGAAAGTGAAGAAAGTTGTGTTATTTTTATTACCGATTAAAATTTGCAGTGCCAGTTATATATTGTTATTGTTGAATTGGTAGCTCTTAGGGGCGAAAATGAACTTGGGACACGCCCATGAAACAAGATTCCGGTACACTTTACAGGGCTCGACGTTGCGACCTGTAGGGTTGCCAATGCGACCAGCTTTTACTCAGTGGTGACTAAATTTTCATGACTGGTCGCCAACCTGGCCCCCAAGATAGGTGACTTTCTTCTTGGGAAAACGTAAACTAATGATAATGTTATCTTTTACAAAACAAATGAATAGCTAACAGTTTTTCTAACGCTCTAATGTTTTGCCCAAACGCTCTAACAGTTAGGCCTAACCCTCTAACAATTTGTCTAAACGCTTTGCCGATTTCTTCGAACACTCTAACCGAGTGTTCTTATGATCTAACAGTTGGTCCGTCTAACGTTTGATTTTTACTTGAAGGAGGATAGTAACTAAATCACAAGTGATGAATTCGACGGAAGTCTTCTTGACTTCCGGGCAAATTGATCGCAATTCTCAACAGGTCGTCCAGTGTTTCTCCAGGAATGACTTTTAGCACATCAATAAAACAATTTCTTTACGTCAAACATGTATCTCGATTTTGGACTTGATAGCAGATTAGTCTGATAAAAGCTTAAGTCAATCGAGAACGAATGGTGCTTACCTCTTGAGCTTCTTGTAAACATGCAAATTTCTGTTGAGCGTAACGGCCTAAATAAAAGCTCTGCCATATTTTATTGACTTCTAATGAAGTACCGTTGAAAGTCATGAGAAGCACCCAATGTCAGTTTTTCGGAAAATATCTGTTTAAAAGACGATTTGAGATCTAGAATTTATGGAACATTTGTTGAAAAAATTTCTTGCTTACCGGCCTCTCCTAGGATTTGCGACCAGCTACAACCCAGTATAATTGCCCATTTTCAACGGATTTTTACCCTAGAAAGGTCACCTAGAATTTTCGGGAGCCTTTTTTCTGGCTGAAATTTTCTAAAGGTAAGTTTTGACCCACATAATTTTCGGATCACTAGACTTTCAGCTAGGAAATCCGAAGAGATGAAAAATTTTTAGGAGATAAAAATATGCCCATATCTACCGTTTAAATACTAAGATACGTTCAACAATGCTATGTTTAAGTGGTTTTGAACTACATTCTCAATGGGTGCCCCTGAGTCATGCTGTTTGTCTAGCAGACTTGCGAAATCAACTTCTTTGCCCGAAAACATCAGCAATGTTTCCTTTTTCTTGAGACTTTCCATCATGTGCTTGGCAACGAAATAGATCAAGTTTCACCGATGTTCATTTCTGAACATGCAAATACATGGGACACAAAACAGATGTTTGCAGATTTTGTTCTTTAATAATCGAAATAAGTTTTTTTGTGATTCCTAAAGTTTTTTTTTTCTCTCAATGTGTATTCCATTGCTTGAATACCTGTTTGAGGAGATTTACGCTTGAGAGTGGACTCATTTTCCCAAACACCGGCTGGTAATCGAGCCCCGAAGGAAAACCCTTCAAAAGAAAGTTCAAAGGAAGTCTAAAGCATTTTTTTTGTTAAAGCTAAATAAAACATGTTTAATTAAATTGTATACCATTAATTCTTGAATATAATTCTTGGCGACTAGAGTACTTGTTCTGGTGACAAAAAAGAGTCGAGCACTGTTTTAGGGGAGTTCTCAAAATTTTCCGACAAACACTCCCATCACTTTATAGGGGAGTACCCCATTGGGATATGCATTGCACGGTGTAGCTGTAGTTTTTCTCTTGTTTTGGTTACTAAAGATGAGCCCCAATACAAAATTAATACAACAAGGAAGCTTAAACTACATTGTAGGAAACAGTGCAAACAAGGAAAGAAAAAAGAGATAGACAACTCCCTTTAAGTTGAGGTATGCAATACTACAACCAGCCATTATTTAAGTTTGCAGGATGCCAAAATGGTATGCAACAATTATTTCACTAGAAAAGATAAATGGGAAAAATCGCAGAGGTTCCCTTGTATTTAAAAAATTACTTCCTCTGAAGCATGTTGTTTTGTAGTCCTTTCTTTTGTGGGAGGAATTAAACTGCAACTAGTGCAGTGTTATTTTCTTAATTAGCAGATTATTTTGGCTGTTTATTCATTTGTTTATCTATTTATTTTCAATCATTTTATTGATTTTGATGCAATGGGCAACCTTTGCTGAGTACAGCCACAAATAAATGTAAATACTAGAACGCTAGAAATGGTTTAGATGTCTGTATAAAAGTAACAAATGCAATTGTATCATTTTGAAAAAGCCACAAGTATCCCTCCAGTAATTACAAATCAATAAAATTTCAGAAAAACTACATTACAACTGTGTGTATATTTTTAAAAATGCATGAATGGATATGTTGTAGAAAGGTGTTCAAAATTAAACAAGCTTTTATTTAGTGCAACAATACAAGCCAACATTATGTATGCAAGCACACAAAATTATGCATGTTAGTAGGGCACCACATAATGAACGTCAAGCCGAGTCATTCAATGCTTGTAAATAGCCATTTAAATTTCTCAGTTTGATCAGTGCATTTGCAATTATCTCGGTGCATAAAAGCCTCTTTTGATGCTTCTGCCTCGAAAAAATATAGTTACTTATTTGCGTTCTGTGGCTCACTTCCGGTTAAACACAATTTAATCCTTTCTTTTGTGCTGCCGTCAGGACAAAATGCCTCGTTTTCACACGGTTTTTCACGCTATTTTTGGCACGCTGTATTACTGTCGCGTCAATATAAACAGCACTTTTCCTTTTCACTTTCTCGGGAAATCAAGTACCAATTAACAAGAAAGGAAGTACAAAACCTACCTGTATAAGCTGAACCAGATCTAGACTTTCAATATGCGGTGGTATTGGTACATTTTGCCATTTGAATAGCTCCTTGACCAAGTGCTTTGTCGAGCGAAGTAACTGTAAACCAGATGGGAAATGAAAGCAAACGTCACATAGCCAAGTCATTGAGAACTAAGCTTCGAAACATTTAAATAAAAAAAAGATCATTTGAAGCAGTAAAATCAAAGCAGGCTTACTAAATTCGGCGCAGAGGGCTCAATACAGCTCAAAGACTCGACAATTTGAGTGATTTTCGCGTCTTCACTCTCCGCAAACCACATCGGCGGCGGGTTGGGATAAGATTCCTTTTGGTAAATGATAAATTCGATTATAATACATCTCAATGACACTATTCAATACCTTAAAGAACCACTAGCAAGTACAAAACATAAACGAACGACTTACATAGATATTGCAGTGAACTACGTGCTCGCCATTGGGTGCGAGAAATCGGTATGTCACTTCATCCAAACCATTGGCTTCTACACGGAGATGTTCGTGGTCCGAGCCAAAGGTTTTCTCTAGGATACTAAGCTCCCTTTTGAGCTCTTGAAACTTGGACATTTGCCCTGCCCAGGCAACAGCAAGAGCTACTTTATACTGGGAACAGTTTCCATCAACAATCAACTTCCATCCCGCAAAAATGAAAATTCGCGTCTTTGCGAGAGCCGCCGCTGTGTACAACCGCTGACCAGTTATTGATACGGAAAAAACAGGGAAGGAGGGACATGGGCGGAGTCACTGAGGGCTGATCGGAGGGGTGCATTGCCCAGAGGGAAAAACGCAATTTCGGGTAGAGGTATGTGCTTCCCTGATCTTGTTTAGGGGACATAACCCCTGCTCAGTCATACAATAAGAGCTGAAGAGCCTTGATCAGTCCTTGATTCACTGTTCGCCGTCGCTAAGAACTGTTATTTGCAGGATTGCCATTTCCTCATTCAGTAGCCGAGAGAGCTCTCGTTTGACTCTTAGGGCGAGTATTATCAACAGTACAGTATGTGAAAACGAAGTGATAGTATAAGAGAAAGAAGCATGAAGACAGAGACTCCAGCAGTTTTCTAAAAAATCAAAGTTAATTTACAAAATACAAAACTTGGCAAGTTTAATTTATTACTGCTAAAAATATTGTATACCAACACAAAAACAATTAACATATCTAAGCTGTAACTACGACTGGATTCCCTTGAAACCAAAAGGAGATTTCTCGCATATACCAGATACTATACTTTTTCAAAAACTCATTTTTTTGTTGTTGTTGTTTGTTTGTTTGTTTTGTTTTGTTTTTTTGCACTCTTAACTATGAGCTGGGTAACTTTCCTAACTTAATCCGTCCTTTCTCACTGAAAATTGTCTTAGACGGCCTTTATAATCAAAAACAAAGAAGCAAAACTACTGAATGAGCCCCTATGGACGGACTCATAAGACCCCGTTCACTAAAATATTTTTAGTGTGGGAGTTATGATGTCGGTATGATGGATAATAGTCAACAGCCAGATCTAACATCTCTTAGTTTATCGCCTTAAAAAAACGGCCCTGCCCGCATAGGCGATAAGGGAAAGGTAAAACTTTGAAAACAACTAAATCCGATTCGGGGATGTAGAAAGGCGAACTAATAAAGCTGAAAAATATTCTGTAACTGAACTTCGGAAGCGTAACTCATGACAAGGAACTAACTGTATGCGGCAGGCCTGAACAGCGCTTAATAACAATAGGCAAACAGTTCAGTGTTTCGCTCTTACGCGAGTTCGTACTATTGACTACCGTTGACTATTGCTGTTATTCTATAAATTTCAACCTGTGATAATTATATTCCACAAAACCTCTAGGGCTACCCAAATTGGGTCCTTATGTTTGTATTCAAAAACTGTAAAGCGCTTTTCAATTACGTGAAGAAATTGATCGATTTAATTCTAATCTTCCTTTTGTTGTTGTTGCATTATCGGGTAAAACAAAACTCATGCCGGTTCAATCCAATATGACCGAAAGCTGAACCCGTTTCAAGACTGAAAACAATTCCAGGAGGCTAGAATCAGTATTTAATTAGGAGAAACGCTGTAAAGTAACCAGAAATTCTGACTGCTTGTCGATTCAGGTTAAAATTTAGCCTTTTAGCTTCCAGAGCTTCTTTTTGAAACGTTTCTTAACTGCTGGGTATTACTTATGAGTCAATGCCCCGGGTTCAGAGCCTGGGCTTGAGGTACAGAGTTCCCAATGGGTTGTTCACGGGATTGCCGCGTCTGTATTGATTGGACAGGGCAACCTATCATCTTTTCACTCAGTTGAAAAGCGCTTTTCTTAATCATATGAATCCTATATATTGGTGATATATAATACTGCACAGCAGTAATACGAGTAGCGTCCAAAAAAGTCGGACTTCTGATCTGTCGAGAACAAATTAAAGGCTCATAACTTCCGATGGTATTTCGGAGCTTTCGGTTTCCCTTCGTTACCGAGGACTCTTCTCGCCGATTTTCACCGCCAGTTTCGAGGACAGAAGCCTGCGAACCTAGACGTATTTCTGGCCGTCGCTTCAACGGAAATACGTCCGCGCTCACAGGCTACAACGACAGAAGTTCAACATTTTACTGATGTTTGGACCTAGCTACAGTTAACAAGTAAGCAGATATATGATATCTAACGCAACACCTTATCCAGCCAATGAGCTGCTAAGATGGTACTAACATGTCACCTCAACATGTTTTTTCTGTTCACACACATGAACCAGGGAAGAAACACCCCTGGAGATAAGGAAGTTTGTGCCACCCAAAAAGGGTATGGTGTATGACCCCCGTTGATCTGAAAACGGGTATAGATTTTGTCAGCTTATGATTGCCTAATTTTGCCCATCATGATGGTCTAAAATTGGTTAAGGTTTTTGAATCAAAATATGACATTCGAGTTCAAATTTTAAAAAAGTACATATATATATTGCTTTGCTACCGTTCAAACCAACGCGAAGATGACATCATTTAGGCCTACGCAAACTGCAGTCGTCGCGAATAAGTGGATGTGGAAAATGGCACGTTTTGGTCTGAAATCAGAGTATGGATTTGGAAAACACAGGTGGCACAGCCTCACCAAAAATTCCGAAGGGCAGAACCTCCCGGGCAAAAAGAGGAAACTGAGTTACATTATATGAACTTAAATCTAGCTGATTTTTTTTAAAGTGGAAAACCAAAAATACATGTGTGTCATTCCTGGTTTCATCTGATTGTGCTCTCCACACAACAACTTTTATGCAACTCCTAAAAACCAGTTCGCTAGATTTTAACGCTAAAGATTCCTTGACCTAATAGACACTCTACTTATTCTTCATAAATGCATTTCACGAATACTTAGGTTAAATAATCAAAGTACCCAAAGGCGGGAAACATACAGTGTTGATATAATGAAAGGAGCATGTAGCAGATGAGGGCTAAGTCACGCCTATTATAGGTGATTATAGCCAATAACACAGACCGCCAGTGCCTGAAAAGAACTTTAAAAAAATGCTGTATCGAATTTAAACATGCGTGCATTTGCATTGGACAAGTATGAAAATCAGATATATGGATAGAATTGTTCGTTGAGAGCATGTATTGGCAAAGAAACTTCGGATAACTTTACCCATTTGGTCCTTGTTCATCCAAGCAGCTTATTTAGCGCTAGATTGTTTCTGTTTTGTCAGCTAGTCCGTTAAAAATTAATATCTAATAATGGAATGGAAGGAATGCTATGACAACTGGTGTCATGACAAGAAAATAACGATATAACAGTCATACGTAATAAGCCCCGTGCAAAGATCAACGCGACGTGCAAAGCAGGTTGGATGAACATGGGTTTTTAAATCACGGTTAAAGGAGCTCTGTCACTATTAAAATAGGCTCTATTATCTTGAAATAAGGGTAGTGTCAAAATATTAGTTTCCTAAAATGGAAAACACTCGAGAGTCAGCACAGTCGAATCACTCTGCAACGGCCACTTTGCAAAGATAGCGGGCCCGGTAGTACTGAAGTGACGTGGTGCGTTGTAGAGCAGTGGCCATCATGGGGACCAAGAGGGGTGTAATATGGAATGAATGTTTTCGTAAAAGGGTAGTCAGGTAAGACAATGAAAATATGTGATGGAATACGAACCAAATGGCTCGACAAAGCGTGATTAAGGCATAGTTAGCGTACATTGTTTTTACATCTTCGCTTAGGGTCTATTACGGAAAGGTTCTTTAGAAGGGAGGTGTGTATAAATGACCGGGTTATGGAGAAGTAGCTGTTGTAGAGTAAATATATGGACTGACTTGCGAAACAAAAAAGGCTACAACTAATTAAGGACAGTTAATGTCTAAGTACATTAGCATAGACTAAAAAGAACAATCATGGAAAGTTTAGGCTAAATTTTCTAATCAACTCAAAGATGCACAAATCGTGAATTAGCTCCTGTAAGTAAATTTAAAGTGACAGGCTTCTAAACCTTCCTCCTGGCTTGCTCCGCAAACGAAATGACGGGCTGATAAACTCCTTGCTGCGAGTATCATCAATAAGAATGACGATAACAACCAGGCGGAACTTGTTTCGTCTCTGAGAGTCCACTGTGGACAGTTTGTATACTGGTACACCATGCTTTGTGGGTGACTCGTAGATGGAGTCTAGATCTACTGTGAAAAAGTGCTGCAAGGAAAATTTAAGTGAAAGTTAAACGGAGGAAGATTCGGCCTCAGAAACAGCAGACATTTTGTGACGTCACCACTGGCTTCCCCGCGAAGTCTGAGAAACGAGCGCAGAAAAATTCCTTACTGACGATGACGCGGCACTCTACAAAGAACTGGGTAGTGTTTCTGATTTGTGGAAGCCAACTTTCAGGCAATCTGAAGCACTACCAAGATCTGGGCATAGCGATACGTAATCAGTATGGAATTTCTGAGCTCGTTTATTAGACGTCATTTCGCGGGGAAACCAATGATGGCGTCGCCAAATGTCTTCCGTTTTCTCAGGCTAAGGAACCCAAGATTGGAAGAAGCAAATTTCCCTCTTTTTGCCGTCTTTAGAGTATATGGAGACTTTTTAAGCTGCTACTAAAAACTCTTCACAACGATAAAAGAAATCTCCGGAGCGGGGCCGCGCGATGGATCAAACAAATGTCTTTCATAACTGATAACTTGAATGAGCTCTGAAATGAGGGGATCCTTTTTTTCCTGTTTGCATAAAGACAACTAACTTGAGTCGAAACTTCAACTTGAAGTTTGCTATTTTGATTTTCAAATTTTCTCGTTACTGTAATTCAGATCATTGATATTACACCTCTTCTAGGCTTGGTTCACCACATTATGATGGGCCGTCAACCGTTTAGGAAAGGAAATATTCTGCTTCGACAAAGAAAAAGCGTATCAGGCTCACAAAAACTGAGTGAGAAAAGCAAGTGTTCAACAGTAAACCACGCTGCGAATGAGAGGCAATACAAACAAACAAACGTAGTTGTGCAGGGTTCTCTCTCTCTTGCCTCGAGGCAAGAGAGAGAACCCCAGGGACGAGGTTGAAGAAGAACGTGCGCGCTCACGAGTCTCAGATTTTAATCTTGTTTCCAGGGTCTCC